ACACAATAAAAGACACTGTGTTTCACCAGTTGAACGCCTTTCATATGTATTAGCAGCAGTAAGACGCAGGCCCACCATCAGGGGCGGTCAATTAGTACAAATGGCCCTAAGGAAGGGAATGGTTGATCCCTAAATGTATGTAATGTTCAAATACAACAATTTACCGACTTATGTTACAAACAATGCAAGTTATTTGTATTTACGTGATAAATAAATTTATTGTTAGCATTAAAACACATCTGATACCCCACCCCCCCACTATTGTGAAAATGGTGTGGTCCAGTCTTGGGGTCAGATGTGCAGAATGCACATGTACTGCTAATGTAAAGATGTATAGCAAACTGCAGTCTGACACCAATGCATCACCAAAAATTAGGGGCTCAAGCAAGAAAAGCCTGGGTGCAGACACAACAAGGCAATTAAAGGAGCAGAGAGAGAAATTTCTGGCCCAAAAAATGTGTCAAGAAAGTCCAGGTATGTGGACAAGGGGCCCAATTTGGAAAATGATGTCTCCTGTGTGTTATTCCTAATAGTCGGCCAATGGCAGAACCCATCAGTGATCTGATCGTGAAGTTTGCCGATGACACGACAGTTGTGGGTCTCATCAGTAAGAATGATGAAGCCAGGTACAGGGAGGAGGTTGAGCTGTTGGAACGCTGGTGCAATGACAGCAACTTGGTGCTAAATGTGGACAAAACCAAGGAAAAGACCACATTTTACAGAGGTGCAGTAGAGAGTGTGCTGACCTATGGCATCTCCACATGGTTTGCAGGCTGCAGTGAGGCTGACAAAAAAGTCCTGCAGAGGGTTGTAAGATCTGCAGAGAGGGTGATTGGAGCGTCACTCCCCTCAGTATGGGAGATATTCCTGAAGCATTGCAGGAACAGGGCTCGGAACATTGTGAGAGACTCTTCCCACCCTCTAAAGATATTGTTTTTGGGCATTTTGCCTGTAATAGACAGGACAGGTAAGTGTGAGGGGGGAGAAAGAGAGGGTGGGTGACATGCAGCAAAGGGCCACAGGCTGGAATTGAACCCGGGCCGCTGCAGCACCAGCCCCGCACATGGGGTGCCCGCTTTACCCACCAAGCCACCATTGCCCCGACTCTTCCCACCCTCTAAACGCCCTCTTCCAGCTGCTACCCTCTCAGTGGCTAATTTGCACTTTATATTTATTCTGTCTTTCATATTTATTCACTGTTTTAGTTTTTATTCAGTCTTTTTTTAATTCTGTTTTATCCAGCGTGTGTTGCCAAATTAAGTGATCCTGGACAAATGCCCTTTCGTTTTGTTTTTACAAGCAAAATGACAATAAAGATTTGATTGATTGATTGATTGATTGATTGATTGACATACATGCACATATACTGTACAGATGCATGTACACAGGCATGCAAATGTAAGTTCAAGGTTCAAATCCGAAACCAAAAGAATAAAGCTGCAGGAGGATGTGAAACATTTAAAGAAATTGTCTGACACACTGATGTGTAACAGATATCACTTTTGGTCTGAGTGACAGCAGCTTCACTTAGTTTCTCTCACAAAAAGAGAAGTGATATTTCAGTGGCCATTTTACTGTTTGTATATTGCACCACTCTACATTTAATGTCTCTTGAGAACCCTCCAAAGTCTTTTATCACACCTAAAACTCATGTACAGTTCTGTTCCTACACAAGCTCAAATCCTGACCCACATTTCAGCCTGATCGCTGCTCTTGTAATAGTTTTGTTGTCAATGAATACGAATGTGCTGAAATAGTTGGAGACGCATTGAAAGCTTTTATAAAATCAAGAACGCAGCTTGTGATATGCTTACAAAATAAGGAAGACAAGAAGATGCTGTCTTGAAGTAGTCTAGCACTAGCGGTTAAATGGATCCACAGCCCACCTGGGCTTTTCGTGTAATTTGAGACACACCTGAGAAACGGAAAGTGAGGACAGCCTTCGGCGAGTGTGACTATAATTTGACTTGGTAGGACCCTTTAATTGTAATTTATATTTCATTTAAAATTTTGTAGACCTAACATCTAGAAGCAAGCAATGTAAAGCTTAGCTTATCATGATAAATGAAATATTTTGTGTAAATATTGTCATGTACATATATAAACACAGAAATTGCACCATAGCGCTGCAATGAAGTCTCTTCTTTATGCTGCCAACAGTGGCATCATGCCGCTCCCATGTGTGATTTTACATGGCATGTCAGCATCGCGGAATCAAGAGTTGTGACAGGCGTGACATGTAACACCATAGTGTTGACCTCTAGTGTCACATAAAGCAAAGACATAGGCAGTGCTTTCTAAACATTAACAATGGCATTAACATGGCAGTAAGAATCATTTACTGTCCCTGATATGTGGTAGCTGATCTCATCCTCTGCTTAGAGGGTAAGGAGCTCCTGGAGCTCATTGTTTTACCCAGTTGCAGACATTTTCAGCCAATGTTCTTCTTTGAGTTAGCTGCTAACTGCTAGTAGCTGCTTGTTATATCTCTCGCGGTGGGTCGTACACAAAATGTTGTCCAACTGTGCTACCCATGATCCCCTCCTGCTGGCTGTCCTGTTTATACAGACATCTTTTCAGCACTGTTACTACCTCCGCTTCCAGCTCAGACGCGAGACGGCTCTGTCCCTCCTTTTAGCTATTGTACCTTCTATTATCTATCTTTCTTCTATCTATTTAGGCTGACTTAGGCCTAGTCTGCCGGAGGACCCACCTATAATACACCGGGCACCTTCTCTCCTTCTCTCTCTCTCTCTCTCTCTCTCTCTCTCTCTCTCGTATTCTATTTCTGCATCTTGCTAACTATTCTGGATGTCACTAACTCGGCTTCTTCTCCGGAGCCTTTGTGCTCCACTGTCTCTCAAATTAACTCATATCGCAGCGGTGCCTGGACAGCGTGACGTGTGTGGTTGTGCTGCTGCCGTGGTCCTGCCAGATGCCTCCTGCTGCTGCTGCCATCATTAGTCATTAGTCATACTTCTACTGTTATTATACACTTATGACTATTGTCACACATGTATACTGCCAGATATTAATACATACTTTCAACATATTGTACCACAGTAGCCAGAACTATAACTATAATATTATTACTTTAAATAATGTTGTTGTAAGCTACTGTCATTTCCTGCATCTCTCTCTCTCTCTCTCTCTCTCTCTCTCTCTCTCTCTCTCTGTCTCTCTGCATCTCTCTCTCTCTCTCTCTCTCTCTCTCTCTCCCTCTCTCTCATTGTGTCATGCGGATTACTGTTAATTTATTATGCTGATCTGTTCTGTACGACATCTATTGCATGTCTGTCCATCCTGGAAGAGGGATCCCTCCTCAGTTGCTCTTCCTGAGGTTTCTACCGTTTTTTTTGGGGAGTTTTTCCTTATCCGTTGCGAGGGTCATAAGGACAGAGGGATGTCGTATGCTGTAAAGCCCTGTGAGGCAAATTGTGATTTGTGATATTGGGCTTTATAAATAAAATTGATTGATTGATTGATTGATTGATTTAGAAAGACAAGGCTGCATCATATCCACGTGAAATCCCCGCCTTGAAGAGGTAGTTAAAGGGGTTTATGATATTTCTCATCTGTGATGGGCACTTGAGCTTTGAGTGATTGCTTATCAGCAAAGAAACACTTAAATTAAAGGATAAATCTGGTTATATCTTTATATATTTAATAATGAATCCTATTAAACCATTAAAACCAACAATGAATTGATCCTATTAGCAAGTATTGCGTTTATCTAGAGCCTCATATATCTCATTCCTCTGCCATAGAATTAAAAACACATCAGTGAGCCACACTGTTGTACAGTCCCCACATACCATCATCCTGATCAATCAATCAGTCAATCAATCAATTTTATTTATAAAGCCCAATATCACAAATCACAATTTGCCTCACAGGGCTTTACAGCATACGACATCCCTCTGTCCTTATGACCCTCACAGCTGATCAGGAAAAACTCACCCAAAAAAAACCCTTTAACGGGGGAAAAAATCCGGTAGAAACCTCAGCAACTGAGGAGGGATCCTCTTCCAGGACGGACAGACGTGCAATAGATGTCGTACAGAACAGATCAACATAATAAATTAACAGTAATCCGTATGACACAATGAGACAGAAAGAGAGAGAGACAGAGACAGAGAGAGATGCAGGACAGACGGTAATGACAGTAGCTTACAATAACATTAATGAAAGTAATAATATTATAATTCTGGCTGTTGTGCTACAATATGTTGAAAGTATATATTAATATCTGATAGTGTACATGTGACAATAATCATATGTGTATAATAACAGTAGAAGTATGACTAATGACTAATGATGGCAGCAGCAGCAGGAGGCATCTGGCAGGACCACGGCAGCAGCACAACCACACACGTCACACCACCCAGGCACCGCTGCAATATGAGTTAACCTGAGAGACAGTGGAGCACAAAGGCTCCGGAGAAGAAGCCGAGTTAGTGACATGCAGTATGGCCGAGTTAGTAAGATGCAGTAACAGGACATGAGAGAGAGAGAGAAGGAGAAAAGGTTCCCGGTGTATTATAGGGGGTCCTCCGGCAGACTAGGCCTAAGTCAGCCTAACTAGGGGCTGGTACAAGGCAAGCCTGAGCCAGCCCTAACTATAAGCTTTATCAAAGAGGAAAGTCTTAAGTCTAGTCTTAAATGTGGAGACGGTGTCTGCCTCCCAGACCGCAACAGGAAGATGATTCCACAGGAGAGGAGCCTGATAGCTGAAGGCTCTGGCTCCCGATCTACTTTTGGAGACTTTAGGGACCACGAGTTACCCTGCTATAGGAGCCAAATATGTGATTGGGAGGTTTTGCGTTTAACTGTGTAACTCACTGTGTGGGCATTGGGGGGCACTGTACCGTCACCTGGTGAGTTCAGGTATTTTAGGATGTGACCTCACTATGATCACCAGGTGTTTGACCCGGAAGGGCAAAAGGTTTTTGACCGCTGTGCTAACTGCCGGCGTTTTCTTTGTTTGGGTTGTCAATAAATCCGAATTATAATGCACCAGAAGACCAGCGTCCGGACTCTTTTACTGAGCATCAAGAACACTAACGTTAGGGTGAGAAACCAGTAAGTTAGCGGGGCGCGTCAACCAGGTTACTCTGGGTCAAGCATCTCAGTAGCTAGTGTAAGACTTAGCTCCTTTAATAATAGTCAAAAACCTTGCATCAGTTTGAACTTCGTTGTGGACATTTCGGCACGTTTGGAACGCAGCGGAGTGATCGCTGTGGACAAGTGTAGCTGCTAGAAGCGGTAGTAGAAACGTCTGCATCAGAGGTGGATGTCGACGCTGGAGCTACGGTGCTAATGCTGAGCCGGCTGTGGAGCATCGGACCACCGAACCCCGGATCTCCGGATCGCCGCACCACGGGACCACGTATCATCTGATCACCGTACGGCACCCAACGCATGGAGGTATGTGTAGCGCTACACCCATGGCCATTTAATTGTGTGCACACATAACTGGGCATAAACCCAATGCATTGGTTGCCGAAGCGGGGGGACAATTGACTTTGCGTTGATTATTCATTACTGTGAACTGCTCATTGACTGACTATTCACCATGGAGACGCGCGATGCGGTGTCGGACTTAATTAGCGTTAGCGGGACTAATGTGCGAACTGCTAGTAAACCTAGTAGTGTGACTAGCGGTGTTGAAACAAAGACTCAAAAACAAGTGGTCAAACTCACTGCAAAAGCGCTTGCCAATGAATTGGACAGGTTGCAGTCTGATAGAAAAGCTAAGTTAAACAAAGCAGCTAACATAAGGAAATCAATACAAGGTTTAATGTTAAAGCATGAGAAAACACTGGTACAGGATGCCTTTGGAGAATTGATTGAAGGAAAAACATGAAACATGGTTTGAAGCAAAAATGTTGCCTAATGAGTGTATTGCAGATGCAAAAATGTGGATTTCATGTGATGAAAGAAATGAAAATGGTAATGTTGTGGATGACATTGATCCTAATGACAGTGTTTCAAATGATGATAAACGCTCAAGTCATAGGAGCCATAACAGTGGTAGGTCAAGTACCACATCCTCTGCAGCCATAAAGGCTGCGGCAGAAAGGGCCGCACTGTTGCGCGTGCTGCAGCTTTAAAGCAAAGGCATGCTTTGGAGGAGCAGGAAGAGCAGCTGAGGAGGAAAAGAGAGCAGTTTGATCTGGAAGCTGAAATAGCTGCGTCCACTGCTAAGTTGGCAGTATTACAGGCTTCAAATTGCAGAAGTGCTTCTCGTGGATCCAACAATGGCATGAATTACTATTTGGAAAAGAAGACAAAAAAACGGGAAACTGTCACTGTATTAAATCCTATGGCGGAGGAGTACAAGCCTGAAACATGGAAATCAACACAAGATGATTTGACAAAATGGTCATTACCACCCAACAGAACCATATCAAAGGATGTGCGACCCAAGGAAACTGAGCAGTGGGTTAAAGCTGCTTCAAGGCATCAATGCAGCCCCAATGAACAGCAACAAGAAAACAACAATTTGGAAACATCACAGCATTTTTAACAACAATCAACAACTGTTCAACCTACTTACCATCATCAAAGCAGTCTCAATCCGCCTGGAGACATACTTATCATCATGCACAGGCAGAATGAAATAACAACAGCTCTGGTGCAGCAGCAGCATCTGATGTCACTGCCACCACGAGATATTCCCACATTTGAAGGCGACCCTCTCCAATACAGGGCATTCATTAGAGCCTTTGAGGAAGGAGTGGAGGAAAAGGCAGGTAAAGCTGATTGTCTGTATTATCTAGAACAGTTCACCAGAGGACAGCCATGTGAATTGGTGCGTAGCTGCCAGCATATGGCTCCTGAGCATGGCTACACAGTGGCAAAGGAACTTATTCAGAAACACTTTGGAAATCAATATAAAATCGCAAGTGCTTATATGGAAAAGGCTTTAGCCTGGCAAACAATACAATCTGAGGACATCAAAGCACTCCAAGCCTACTCCTTGTTCTTGCGTGGATGCTGCAATGCAATGGAGGAGCTCCAGTACATGCAGGAACTGGATATGCCAGTAAATATGAGAGCCATTATGTCAAAGCTGTCATTCAAAATGAGGGAGCAATGGAGAACCATAGCTCATGACATAATGGAGAACACCAACAAAAGAGCTCGCTTCACTGATCTGGTCATGTTTATCGAGCGTCGTGTCAGCATTCTTTCTGACCCTCTGTTTGGTGAGATACAGGATCCAATATCTGGTGTTGCTGGGATAAAGACCATCACCGGGGTTTAAATCACAACCCGGGAACAGAATAAAGGGAAATGTTGTTGCCACCACAGTAACATCTATGGAAGTGTCTGAAGGAGTTAAAGAGCCACCAACATCAGACTCAGGGAAGGCTGAGAGAGCTGAATGCCTTTGCTGTGCTAGTAGCCACTCTTTGGAGGAGTGCAGACAGTTCAAGGGAAAGAAGCACAAGGAAAAAAATCAGTTTCTGAGAGGAAAGGGGGTTTGCTTTGCATGCTTATGTGTTGGACACATGAGCCGTGAGTGTGAGAGGCGCTTGACATGTGAAACATGTAATCAGACCCATCCCACTGTGCTTCATATTAAAAGGCAACCAGCACTGGAACCATTGGAAACATCTAACCAGCCAACTTCTCCCAAAACATGTGGACATACAGGGGCCAGTCAGGACCAGTGTGTGTTATCCATCCTCCCTGTGAAGGTTAAAAGTGCAAAGGGAAATCACATCATAAAAACCTAAGCCTTTTTGGATCCAGGAAGCTCAGCCACATTCTGCTCAGAACGTCTAATGCAGAAGCTGAATGTCACAGGCAGAAGAACCAACTTCCTGTTGAGCACAATGGGGCAAAAAACAGTTGTGCCAGCCTACTCATTGGCTGGGTTGGAGGTATCGGATCTAGATAGCAATGATGTTCATGTTCTCCCAGAGGTTCTCACACAGAGGAAAATGCCAGTCACTGTTGAGAACATGGTGGCACCTGAAGAACTGGCAAAATGGCCATATTTGTCCAAGGTGAACATCCCAAGCATAAAAGCAAATGTCGACCTGTTGATTGGCACCAACGCCCCCAAGATATTAGAGCCTTGGGACGTCATTAACAGTTGCGGGAATGGCCCGTATGCTATTAAGATAGTGCTGGGGTGGGTTGTTAATGGTCCACTGAATGGAAACAGTGGTGCTGCGGAGGCCAAAATGATGGAGTACCAGCAGCAGATCTCAAGTCTGGAGGGAGACTGTCGAGAGCTGAGGAGCTACCTGCAGGACCTGGAGAGGGCCAACCAGATGCTGAAGGACAAGTACGACGCTCTGCAGATCACCTTCTCTGCTCTGGAGGAGAAACTGAGGAAGACCACCAAGGACAACCAGGAGCTGGTGTCCTGCTGGATGGCCGAGGAGGCTGAGGAGGCCAACAAGCTCAACACCGAGAACGAGAAGGACAGCATATGCAGACAGGCTAAGCTGCAGAAGGAACTGGCTGATGCCGCCAAAGAGTCTCTGCCCATCGACCCGGCCGATGACATCGAGGTCCTGGCAGAGGACGGAGGGAAGGGCGGTGGAGAGACCTCGCCCAACATGGCGCTCAGCAGGACTCCCAGTAAGAAGATGTCCCAGCCTCCTCCTGGTGGTCTCCTGGACTCCATCTCCAGCATCTTTGGGTGTCGAACAGCCAACTCCTTCAGCACGTCACCTGAAAACACTGAGGACCCCTCAGGAGTGTGTGCGGAGGTTCGAGTCCCCTCAATGGCTCTCCACGTGGTTGAAGCTCACAACGGTGAGGTGAACGCAATGAGGTTCAGCCCCAGCTCTCGTCTCCTAGCAACAGGAGGGATGGACCGCAGGGTGAAGCTGTGGGAGGGGGTGGCCGGTCACTGTGAACCTAAAGGAGCTCTGACTGGCAGTAACGCCGGAATCACCAGCATCGAGTTCACCGCAGCACGTGGCCAAACCAACATGGCTGCGCCCTGTGCATGTTAGTCAGAAGTGGAACATAGATTTGTTTGGCTGCACTGTGTTTTGCTGTAACGTGGTTTATCATAACATTTTGCTCCTTTTTTGTTGTTGTTGTATTTTGAATTGTTATGTCAGGCTGCCAGTAACAATTAGGGGCCGGTGTATAGGAGCCAAATGTGTTATTGGGAGGTTTTGCATTTAACTGTGTAATTCACTGTGTGGGCATTGGGAAAACAGTAAGTTAGCGAAGCGCGTCAACCAGGTTACTCTGGGTCAAGCATCTCAGTAGCTAGTGTAAGACGTAGCTCCTTTAATACCTGCGTTCTCAGAGCGCAGAGTTCTGGTGGGATAATATGGCACTATGAGCTCTCTAAGATATGACGGAGCTTGACCATTTAGAGCTTTATAAGTTAACAGTAGGATTTTAAATTCAATTCTGGATTTTACAGGGAGCCAGTGCAGAGAAGCTAAAACAGGAGAAATATGATCTTGTTTCTTAGTTCCTGTTAGTACACGTGCTGCTGCATTCTGAATTAGCTGGAGAGTTTTTAAGGACTTACTAGAGCTACCTGATAATAGAGAGAAAATCACACAGCTGGTCTGCGACTACTTTCTCAAGGATCTTTGAAAGAAAGGGAAGATTAGATATTGGTCTATAGTTGGCTCTGGATCCAGGGTGGGCTTTTTTAGGAGAGGTTTAATTACAGCTACCTTAAAAGGCTGTGGTACATAGCTTGTTAATAAGAATTGATCATATCTAATATATGAGTGTTAACTAAAGGTAAGACCTCCTTAAGTAGCCTAGTTGGGATGGGGTCTAAGAGGCACGTTGATGATTTAGATGAAGAAATCACTGCGGTCAATTCTTGAAGAGAAATCAGGGAGAAGCAATCTAAATATATATTAGGTCTTACAGCTGTGTTTGAGGTTAGATAGGTACTATCTGAGGACAGGAGGTCATGAATTTTGCCTCTAATAGTTAGAATTTTGTCATTAAAAAAGCTCATAAAATCATTCATGCTAAGGGCTAAAGGAATACAAGGCTCAACAGTGTTTCCCACAGGATTTTGGGAAACCATGGGGGGGACAAGGGAGAAAATTTTGAACATTGTATATTGAAATTGAAATGAATTTGTATACAATATGTACAGAACGGTAAAATCATCAAGTTTTGAAAAAGTATTGCAATTTAATTTTGTCTTTAATGTTATTATCTTATATTATCTTTGTAATATGATTATCTTATATAATGTTATTACTATCCTAAAACATTCTCCAGGTCCTCTGTAACTCTGCAGGACTTATTTCCACCCTGCCCAGCAGCAGTACCGTGGCGAATGGTCCCTAACTGCGGGGAGAATGGAGCAGGCTTCCCCGGAGGTCCGCCGCTTTTCCCAGTCCCTCTTCTCCACACTTTGGGCTCTAGTTTCGCAGACCGGGCGAGGCGGGGGTGCAGTGCACCTGCGCTTC